GATGTCTAAGGTACCACAAAGTACAATGTAAACTAACAACAGAAAAGGCTTTGCAGCCTCTTACTGGCTGAGCTGTAGACACCGTGGGAGGCTGCAGCTTTCAGAGGATGCAAGTATGTTCCTGCTGGAAGGGGGACCCAGATCTATGCGTTAGGAGTGCTGAACAACTTTGCATTCAAATGTGCACATGTACTTTAATGTGTTACAAAACCTTGTTTCTATGTACAGCTTGTGTACATGGAGCCAGCCATATTTGCTTCTAACATATGCGGAGTTTGCTTCCTGCTACACAGTAGTTGTGCTTTGCTGCACCTTCACACGAAGCAAGTATATGGGTCAGCATTAAAAACAATGCACTCCTTGCATGGCTGATATCTGATCTCACCAATCGTTAAGAAGGGAGGCCAAGTAAGAGTGAGCCAAGCATAGAGCTCCCTCTAATGGATAATCTACAAATCGCCATATTTAATGCAAGAGCCTTAAATTGTATCCACAGCCAACGCCTTTTAGCCAAAAGGTGAGAGGAAAGGAGTGGGGCAAAGTCAGGGTCTCTTTTAGGTTTGTTATGGTCAGAAACCCTCGCTAGATAGATTCACCCTCCTCATTTGTCTCAGTGACCATTGTCACTGGGAAAGAAAGCGATAGGAAATACATTTTTATTTTGAATATTACATCAAATATAAACTTAAAAAATGTGTTGACACCAGTACAGGAATAAGGAACAATATTCCAATGGAGACATCTGCTCCTGTGACAACTGTCTAAGAGGAGATACACCTCACAAGAGAGGAAAACAGGACACAGAAAAACAAAAAAAAAGTTCTAACTAGGGATGCACCGAAATGAAAATGTTTAGATCGAAACCGAAATTTAAAAAAAAGTTGTCAGGGCGAAACCGAACTAACCTTTTTAAAAAAATTTAAATTATTTTTACATTTTTTTACTTTACCGTCGGGGGCTTTGGGGAAATACCAGGGGTCTAAAACAGACCCCTGATATTTCCCTTTTAAAATAGGCAAAGAGATTAAGGACCAAGTCCTAAATCCCTTTTTCTGAGGCCCCTGTTATGAATGAACAGGAAGCCTCTATACTGAGTGCTCCTGTCCATTCATAAACTGTGAAACTAGAATGAGTTACTATGTCCACAATCATGAATGAACAGGAAGTGATGAAGAGCACCTCCTGTTCATTCATAACTGGGGACACAGTAAGCATACGATCTCCTCAGTTATTTACAAACACTCAGCGATCAGTTCTGATAGCATATAGACCATTGCATGTGCTAGGATAGGTAGCGTGTGCGTGTGTGTGCGCGCGCATGTATGCATAAATGTAGCAGTCTGTATATTTGTTTTGTTTTCTTGTAACAGTAAATAGTTTGTATACACAGCATTCTTGTTTGGTAGAGGTAAATAAATATAACTACTTGGTCAGTTTTCTTGGTTTTCCTACAAGAATTAGGTCAGTCAGCTGTAAACTTTACAGGCAAAACACTAATAAAGCTCACCTTTAAGTTGTTGCAGCTCCAAATCCAAGCTTTCAATGTTGGAGTCGCAGAACTCTACGTTTTCAATAGTTTCAGCTCTCGTTTCCTCATCCTGCTCTTCATCCTCGAGCATCAAACAAAGCTCCTCTCGAGTATTTCTATAGATCTCCAATTCCCGTTCCACATCTTCGATCTTTATTAGTAAGAAAGGACAAGGAGAGGGCTCATCATTGTCCATTTCCTCTACGTCTTCTGCTGTATCTGCTACATCTGGGGCAATAGGCAGCAATAAGCTTTCATTAAGGCTTTCATTCACTGAGGTTTCCTGTCTTGGTACTGGCCTCGGGGATGGAGTATTTCTTTGGCTGTTCGGTGGGGGTAATGGAGCAGGTCTGGCTGGTTTCAGGGATAGAACTGGGGGAATATTTTCCAAATGCTCACTTCTATTTGAATTCTGTCTTGGGGGAGCTGAATAGGATGTATTAGAATTCGGAGATGCATTAGCTCTCTGTTGGGGACGTGGAGGTGGAGGCCGTAGAATTTTCTTTTTTTCAAGAGATTTTTGCAGCCTGGACTGCTGTGGTGACCCCCGGATAATGTCGGTCTCAGAGTTGTAATCCAGGATAGAAAAATGCCTAGAGACCTTATTATTACCATTCTTTCTTGGATTTGAGAGGCTATTTTCAAACTGGGAAAGCTGTTCGGAAAGCTTTGAGTCTAAATCAATCAAACCTGACCCACTGCTGTCTTTACATTCATTATTAGCTTGGCTGTCCTGGCTAGGTGGCCATGAGGTTGACCAAGAACTTCTGTTTTCATGCTTGTCTTTGGAACGGCAAGATGGTTTTGTCTTTTGCCTATGGTCCTCCACCCAGTTAATTAGGTCTTGAAGAGGAAGACTGTTTTTTCTATTTTTGGGTTTCTGTTTTTTTTCATTAGTATTGTTCTGAGGAGGATGGATCTCATCAGTTGTCAATGAAAATGCCTTTTTCGAAAACCATTTTTCTTGTGACCCATTTGAAACACATGACCTTTTTCTTCTGTCTTCATTCACCACTGCAGATGAATTTAGTTCTTTTGACCTTTGCACATTCGTTTGTGATGTTGGAGGACTGTATAATGTATTCTGTGGACGAGGAGGTAGCTGGGGTTTTAAGGAAGCATTGTTTGTGTCACATTCACTTTGGATAGTTTCATTGCTGCTTTTTAGATAGGGTTCTGGACTTTGCCTTTTCTCCTGGGTGTCATGAGATATGGATGGCGAACTGTCCTCTATGTGGACATCCCAATAGTGGGGATCTGTTGCAGGTTGTTCATAGGAAGATGATATGTCGAGATAACTTATTGGAGTTGGCAAAACTGAATTCTCAGATTCTTGGAGCTGCTCCTCCTGAGAAGGTTTCTCTGTAGTCTCAAATTTTACAAATCTGTAAGGAAATATCCCCCTATTTCCATACAACTCACCCTCCAGCCATCCATCCTCTAATGTTTTAACGATACGAATTCTGTCTCCAACGTCAAAGTCCAGTTCCCGTTGCTCCATTGCCTGGAACCTGTAAAGGGCAATGGCAAAAGTACCATCTTCGTCTTCTTCTTCTGGAATAATTTGATCTGTGTCATTTTGACGTTCTGTGTGGAAATGGGCTATTTCCATTTCCTTATTATCATGACCAAACTCATATCTATCATCCCTGAAGTGGACAATGTCCACAACTCGTAAAGGGTTCAAGAGTTCCACAAAGCCTTCTGGAAAAATTCCCCTTCTTCCATTCAGCTCCCCCTCAAACCAGCCAGGTTCTGGGACTCCGGTGATTATGATGAGGTCTCCTTCCCGGAAGTCCAGTTCCTCTTCCAGCTGTGCGGAAAGGCCCATTATTGCCCGGGCCTGCCCAATAGCATAACACGGCAGCTCTAGAGCCAGGTTTTGGCAAAGCTGGCGGCTTCTGGGGGACAGGAAAAATTCCTGGACGCAGGAAAGGGGAAAGAACCCCCTGGAGCCCCAAAAGTTTCTTCCTTGTAACCAACTTGAAGCCAGAGACCCTTCCAGCACCACCATATCTCCTGGGAAAATCAAAAAAAGAATAAATATCAAACTAAATGTAAAATATATACAAAGTGTATATTAAAAATGGTTTTAGGTCCATTTTTGGGGGGATTTATTTATTTAGTGTATGTACTTTCTCTCTCCTCCTTTACAGTTGCCAAGGAATGCACTGTGTAAGCGTGCACTGAATCAAGAGACGTAGAGGCTGGGCAGTGCCATGCATGAGCATTCGCTCTGCCAGGAAGTTGTGGAACTGATCTACTTTTATTATTGGGTTAAGTTTATGGATTCAGACACAGGGAGGACTAAAGTAGATGTAAAACCTAACAGAACATTAACTTTTTATTTGCAAAAGCACTGTTTCTGGTGAAGAATTGTCATTTCTTTGAATAAAATACTTGTTTTCACTTTTTTTTATCCTTTGCTGTATCTTAATTGTAGTCTTTATCATAAACCCATGTGACAGGTTGATGTAGGAGCACAACTGGGAGACAGGAACAGAGTATTCTCAACCAATATCAAGAAGCACCTGAACAAGGACCGTCATGGCAGAATCGTCACATACTATTTTAAAGAAGAACCCCTGGCAAAACTTTTATAAACCCTTGCAGGAGGGCTACCCATGCACTGCAAGGGTTAACTCATTTTCATCTAGGTGTTAAAATAAAAAAAGTTATACTCACCCGAACCTCAGAGCTGACTGGCTGAGACAGCGCTCCCCCCAGCCTGTGTTCTCCTATGCTGCAGGAATGGTTTGTCCCTTGGCATCCTCACTTCCAATACACTGGGGGGAATTTATCAAAACTGGAGCAAATTTGCCCTGCAACCAGTCAGCTTATCGGTGTCATTTTCAAATCTTACCCGAGCAAACTGAAGAGATATGCTGATTGGTTGCCACAGGCAACTGCTCCAGATTCTGTCTGCTCCAGTTTTGATAAATTCCCACCAATATGTATAGAATATGATGACTCGAGGAACCTTAGACTGCTGCAGTAGAGGGGGAGTGAGGCTAGAAGGACCGGTCTAAGAGGAAGCCGGCACCATGGATCGGGTGAGTATAACTTTGTTAATTTACCACCTAGACGAAAATGAACACGTTGCACGGTTTATAAAAGTTTTGCATGGAGTTCTTCCTTAACGACAGCTGCAGATATAGGCCTCATTCACACTAGAAACGGCTGGCACGTACAGCTCCGTATCGGGCAGCTCCCGGGAAGGACAGGTGTTGCGTGTGATTAGTACGCAGTCCCCGTCCTTCTCTATGGGACTACGCGGCCATACGCCGCCCTGCGCTCGCCCGCCATGCATGTCCGTACAGGTGCGGGTGAGCGTACTGGTACGCTGACAGGATGGATCACGGAATGTGTCCGAGCCAGGAAACACGCACCCGCACGGACCTACACTTGAGGTGAGCGTAGGGGGGCGTATGGCCGCGTAGTCCCATAGAGAAGGATGGGGGCTGCATACTAAATCACACTCAGCACCTGTCCTTCCCGGGAGCTGCCTGATACGGCCGTGCACGCAGCACGGAGCTGTACGTGCCGGCCGTTTCTAGTGTGAATGAGGCCATACAAATAGTGAAAATGACTTTTGAAATGACAATAACATGTTAAGTTGATATAAGATTTCTGGTAATTAGACTGACTGTTAAAAACGTATTTAACTTGTATTAATGAATTAAACAAAATTTTGAGTTAAATATTTTTGTCTGGACTGTTTTTGAGAGATAGAGAGAACAATTCACAATATACTCCAAATGCAACAACAGCAAAAACATAGCAGAAGACAAAAGTAACAGGGCTATTCACATAAGGGTGAGGAGTTTGGAGAAGGCAGGAGAAGTGAACAATCTAGGACAACATAGCTGATTTGGAAACATTCTCCAATTCAGCTCACTTTCCAGTTCAGCTATGTTGTCCTAGATTGTTCACTTCTCCTGCCTTCTCCAAACTCTTCACCCTTTCCTGAATAACCCTGATAATGCTTTATCCGGATGGTGCTTTATAATACATCACCCAAGAGCACCCTCTGCTGGCTCAGTCATGGAACAACAACTCAGGTAATTGTATACAAAACCAGTATGTCACAATAATGCACTATGGCGATGAGGATGGCCAACTTTGTAAGACTGTCCTGAAAAGTCCTTCCGCTGGGAAGTGCAAATAGAAAACTAGAGATCGCTGTGGTCTCATCCTCAGATCTTACAGCCAATTTAAAATGGTCAGCTTGTAATGAAAGGCTTGGCATATCTGAGCTGCCAAAAATTGAACAAACAGATTTAACAACCTTCTGGACCTCTGCAAAGACTCCAAACACATGTCTATGAGCAGTTCTGTGCTTCACACTGGGTTCAATTAACTTTATGGTTTATTATGATTTGTTTATATGGCGGAAACGCTCTACGGGACTGGACGAGAAATAACTCTTAATTCCCCGCTGCCGGTCTATTGTATTCAAACAGCGGTGGGTGTTCCACTGTCATTGGCTCATTGGCTGCTTGGCCAGGATTTTTCGGACCAGCTCCTTTGACAAAAGTCGATTGAAAGGTCAAGTCAGCAGGAATTAGCCGAAATTCAACCTCTCTATAGCCAGTTTAAGGTTCTTATTAAATGTTAATATACCTGCTGAATATTTAAAGTAGAACCCCCAACCATATACCGGATACCCTGTTCGTTCAGTCTAGGGAGGCTCTAACAGATGGTGCCATAAGCTTCCTCCCCATTGGACAACTGGTGCCCCGAAACTGCTCCTTTTCTCTGGTCATGTGGCCCATGTCATTATGTACAATGCATTGCATTTTATGACGTTGAGGGCATGCTCACTTTCAGAAGACCAGATCACCTGCGGCTGAATGAAAGAAATCCAAAAGATTTCTTTATGCATGCCAAAAAGTACAAATAGATGAAACTCCCTGTCGGGCTATTGTGTTCCGAGAGCTGGCGCCTGCCACAGTCAGAACCCCCGAACAGTGACCAACAATTTTCCACTCTGCTCCTTCGTCAAAAGTCGATCAAAAAATTTACTTTTGTCAGGCCGGGTGGTGCCAGCAGGACCACACACACAGCACTTGAATTTTGTCTGAGTCAGCAGGACTTGGCCAAAATTCAATTTTTATGATGCAGCATGACGACAGAGAACTATGCAGGTTTGTTTATCTGAGACAGAGACAAGACATTGTTACCTCTCTGCAGACACAGCGCTCCAGGCTCGTGGGAGGTGAAATCACTGATGCAGACATACAGTCTTTCTCCATGTTTCACAGATGGGATGTTCAGAACTTCCACAAAACTAGAAGGAAATTGTCCTACAACCAAGGAAAGGATATCTTTATTGCAACTGTGCACATACAATGGACAGCTTACGGAGCAACTAAAGTCAAACAGTGAAGATTTGTCATCTTATAGGGAACCAGGTTGTCTAAGCTGCATCCTGAAAAATGTAACTTTTGTCTTGAAGTTCCTCCTGAAAAATAGGAGTGCACTTCCTGCCTTGCCTTGGTACTCCTGTGCCTACAGCCTCCGAGTTGTATATCTGCAGTGTGAGACCTCAAGCATTCTTGCTGCTGCAAAAAAGGGGTTTTGCTCCTCTTGCTGTATCCAATATCATTACAAGCAAATAAACTTTCTAAAAAAGATTATGAAACACCCCTCATAATAGTTGTAAAAGTGAAAGGAGCTGAGAACTTTGCTGTAGAGATATCACTTCTAGTTTTTGTGCTGGTGTGTTATAAAAACAGAAAGCAAAACTGTGCTATTATGGTATAGATGTCCATAAATTGGTATCACTACTTTGGATAAGGCTGTGACCCTGTTCATAAAGGGCAGCCTCAATAAGGGTCACTTAGTTTGTGTCCAAAGCCCAGTTATTTATAACAGGTATTTATATAGTGCCATCAGTTGAAGCAGTGCTTTACATATTGTCCATTCACACCAGTCTCTGCCCACGAGAAGCTTACAATTTAACAGTTTCATCTCACATGCATAAATATACAGTACATACATACATGCTAGGGCCAATTTAGACAGGAACCAAATTAACTTACTAACCATTCTGGAGTGTGGGAGGAAAATGGGAGCAACCCATCCAAGTGTTGGAAGAACATGCAAAACCCATGCAGATAGTTTTTGGGAGGACTCTAGTGCAGCAAGGCAGGAGTGCTAAGCTGAGGACTCTAATGAAGCAACGCTAGAGTGCTAACCACTAAGCCGCTGTGCAGCCCAGTTACAGCTAAGGTCACTGCATCCTACCTTCGGTCCTTAAGATGAGGACAAGCTATCATGCCACTGGGCAGTTCCCAGCCTGGCCTAGAGGCTTCCTTCCACTTTCATCTCCGGGACTGGAGGCAGCCGTAGTGATGTCAGCTGCAGCCAGGCTTGATGCACTTAAATGTAGGCTCTAGGTCACCTGTTACAAACAGGGTCACATCCTATGCCTGAATGCCAGGCCATTCTGGATGGGTAAAGTGCTGACCTCTCCTGTTACTGACAAGTTTTCCCACCTAGTTGGCCAGTGACAGCCCACTATGAATGTGTTGTTGCAATACGGCTGGCATTCCAGAGTAAAGAAGAATAGAAGCCTACACCTTATACCTGCTTGATTTTTTCATATAAACCTATTTAGTATCTGTTCAAAAAGAATTTAAGCCTTGGACAGAATGAAACTTGACTAGTAATTAGCCAAAAAAGCCATATATGCAAAATACTCAGATGACCGAATTTATAAATACATCTTTGTGAACATTACCTGTGATCCCTTCTTTATTTCCCAGCAGCCAAAACTCATCTATCACGCTGAGAATTTCAATGACATCCCCAGCAAAGAGCGTTAGTTCCTCGGACACACTGGGGCTAAAGTCAAAGATTGCACGAACTACTGAGCCCTCCTCCATCCCTGCAAAAGACAGAAAAACACAATATTAATTATACGGATATCCTGGAACAGTCACACAAGACATTTCATCATGGTGTGTAATAGAACGAGGAGCACAATCTAAAGAATGTGTGCTATACAGGACAACTAAACCGCCTATCTGCATCACATGACATTATGTCCAGTACAAAGGGCATCATTTATTAACGAGTCTGAAATAAATACTGTCTGTATTTACCCATCAATGAGAATGTTTTATTCTTAAGCGGATCCAAACCTTTTCCTCCGCCATTTTCTCATGATAATGTGCAATCTGACGGTTACAATTGTTTTACACTCATGTAACACTAATTCGGAGTAGCCCTGGCTGCAGGTTTTGTCTCTAGCCACATCTCGGGGGGTATTGTAAGTGTCGTCATGCAGCTACAGTGTTCTGGAAAAGTCAAGGCCAATTAGCGGCTCCTGAACACAGCTCCTGAAAGATAACAACGCTCATTGGGGCCCCATCAGCCGTATCTAGACCCGGGACTGGCACCAGAGAGAGAACCTAGAACAGGTGCAATGTAAGTACAATATTAATTGCTATATTACACAAGATTCTTTAATTGTGTCCACTCTAGTCAAAGTAGGTGCAGCACCCTCTTTGACAGGATCCACTGCCGAAGCTTTGAGAAACCAATAGTTATGGGGGAGCACTACCCCTGTCTCCCCAGAATTCAGTGCTGCCCATAGTTTGCACATGAAGATGGGAGGAAGGGGGGGGGCTTGTGCAAGTTTCCACTGAGAAAGTCAAAACCTGAACTGGAGGTTCATATGTGTGCTGCTGGGAGACGTAGGGAACTTAAGGTCCCTGTAGTGCAGTGAACCTCTTTCTTTACTTAGCCCTAGCAAAGTACGGTTTCACGTTGGGACAATTTCCCTTATTTCCTGTCCCAGAGATGCAACAGGAAGTTAGAGGAAATCTTCCATTGAGGGGAATTCCCCTCTTGGATATTCTCATTGGAACAGGTGTTCCCATTGAAGATTTCCCTTCACCTCTTGTTCTGGGGACAACTCTAAAATTTTGCTTTTCCCCTCACTTTCTGTCTCCGTGACAACGGTCAACCGTGAGGGCTGAATCTCCCCAGTGTGGACACTGACAGCAATAAAAACCTTGACAGAAGGTCTAAGGCTCCATTCACACAGGAGCGGTTGTCCGCGCGTATTCGTATCGCTGAACATTTGGCTGGATCGGCTCTAAAAATGAAAAACAATGCACTCTAAATGGGCAAAGTCCAGACTTTTGCCGCGCGTTACAAAACCACATGTCCTGCAAAATAGTACAAGCGTGATTTCAGGGTTGTATTCCGCACGTTCGCGGCTATAGTAATAGCCTTAAGCGAGCAGAATCTGTGCAGTTGTAAAGATTTTAGGTTTGCGTGCCGTGCGTTCTTCCACACGGAAAACCGCGCACGAAACGCAAAGTTACTCTTCCCCACGCTATTCAAAGCTTTAAAAAAATAAAATCAAATGCCTAAAGATACACATTGAGAGCTTCTTTTAAATGTAAGTGGTGTGGTGTGGTGTTTTAATGCACATGCAATAATGTGCGTTATGTTAAAGGAGAATTATGAGGTGAGTGATTTTCACTCAGCCTCATAATCTGAGCCGACCTGTGACAATGAAACTGTCACCGGTCGGCTCAGTAGATCGGGAAGTGAGCAAACACATACCGTCGCTCGCTCACTTCTCGATCTATCCCTGCAGAGAGCCATGACGGTCGCTCACGGCTCCCTGCAGGGATCCCCCCCCCTCCCCGCTCCGATCCTCCAGCGCTGACTGGCGAAACGGACGGGGGAGGGGGTGGGTACAGCTGGCTCTGCCTCTAGATAGCCAGAGCCAACTGTCAATGATGCAGATGGGTGGATCCAGACAGTAATGGCTGTGCCATCTCAGTATACCGCGAGCTGTAGCTTGCGGTATACTGAGCTTTGGGTCACAGGAGAACGCTAATTTGTGTCCTCCTGTGACCCTTAGGAGAACTATGAGAAAAAGCCCGGACCCCATAGTTCTCCTTTAAGGCAAACTATTCATTATGAAATGCGTTGTTGCGTTGCAATCTACTGAACAAAGCATTTAGGTGCTATTAACAATGAATGGCACTACAGCGCACCACACACAGAGCAGGCACAGTAGAATGCATTGTGGTAATGCGCATTGCCATAATGCAAAAGCGTGAATGGGCCCTAAGGGATTTCAGGCCTTTATTACTAAAGTGGAACCAACAGCACAAGAGTGTATATAATATAATAAATAAATGGCAATAGTAGGCACTTTTAAGAAGGTATTTTCATTTTTCCCATGTTTAAACATGGATTACAGGCTGGCATGTACAGTACAATCCATTGTCCCTTACACATCACACCGTTCCTCTCTTACCACCTATAGGGCAGTACTGCAGTTTGCCGAGTTCCTTATCGCATTGCTATTTATAACCGTCCATCCTGTCAAGTCTCTTGCAATACATTCACCAATCTGCTAATACAATTACTAGCAACTCCGGCCCTCCAGCTTTGCTTTTACTATGAATCCCATCATGCCTCTCGTCTCCGGGAGTCATGTCTGTGACTGGCAGGGTCTTGCAATGCCTCATGGGACTTGTAGTTCCACAACAGCTGAAGGGCCAGAGTTGCCCACCCCTGCCATACAGAGTGCAACTGATGCCCAATTGTCCATATCAGGTGACTATATCTTTAGATGTGTGACCACATTAGCAGCGATCAGAACTGAGAATTCTGCCCTGTTCATCCCCACTAATGTCTACATATGAGCAGATCAGATACTCAACTCTTCACCTTACACACCACACACACACACTCTATTGGGCACAGAGTGCTTGTGCTATGCCGACAGCTAGGAATAGACCACGGTGCTAAGGACGCGGGGTTAGGATGTTGGACCAGTCTGAGGAAGGAAATAGGAGGGAGGATTCTGGAGGATCCATTTTCCTGTCCGGTATTATCAGCCACAGATGAGTTAAGGCTATGGGAAGGGTTAAACCCAGCACAAAAAACACAGGACTCTAGAAAAGAAACCGTTCCAAAGGAATGGGGATATGTTTAATCACTAAGAAGACAACAGGAAATATTCTTCCTATCTAAAGTTTGTATCTACAAACTAACAATTCATAACTATTATTATGTGTTTAACAATATAAAATACAGTTTTCCCTTTTAATCTCAGTGCTGCTGATCTCCTGCAGCCTCTTCCTTTCTACATGCACTCGCTCAAGTATCAGCTGCACTTAACTGCTCTGCAATTGTTGCATGCTGGGCTTTCTGCTAAGAAAGCCAAGCACTAGCTCTGCACTTGCTAACTGCTCCTGCAGACTGGAAATGCAGACAGCACAGTCTGAAAACTCACTGAGACAGCCATTCAGCTGGTGCATGTAATAAGATATCCGGCTATTTAACTCTCTAACCAGAGCTCAAATGTGTAAATATGAAATATTTATATTAAGTATATAAAGTATTTTGGCTTTTGCTATTGAAAAAAAGCACATCAAGCAATGCAATTCAATAATTCATGTCAAAAAACATCAGTTCAAGTGTGTTTAACATGTGTCAATACATTCTAAACGCAACATAGATGGTGTGAATCCAGCCTACCAGTTCCAGTGACAATGGTCAGCAGGATAAATGGTGAAGGCGGATCTTCCCAGAGAAGACACAGGCAGCAATTGAACACTAACTAGGCTTCCAACCCCTCACCACTCCATCTAAAACAAAAAGCAGAAGTTTTGTCTTTTTTGTATATAT